CACACACACACACACACACACACACACACACACATGCACACACACACACGCACAAGCACACACACCCCATAGCAGAAACCTATCTATCCAAAATAGGAAATGAACCAGGAAAAATTTTGTTCGAACCACACTTACCTCTCTGGTTTTGCTGACAGCCTTTCTTGCTTAGAACATCTTCCACAGAATTTTCAAAAAGTAGGTAGACATTCTGCAGCAAGCCCTGTAAACAGACATGAGGAGAAAGGCAGAGGGATGGGTAAACACCAAACAAGACACCAAGCTCAACGACATTTTAAAGATACAAGACACAATCTTAAAATGGTGGCAATATCTTCTGCTACGGCTCTATACTCGGCATGTTTGAAATCTCTTTGAAATGGCTTGTCCTGTGCATGTGACTTCTGAGAATTTTCAGGCGTGACACAGACAGTGGGAGTTTACATAGGAAGCAAGTGCTGCAGAGAAGAATGAGGCGAATCCGGCCTCCTGAACACTCAGGTGGGTATTCTAGGTGGTTCTTTCCTCACAGGGGGCCCCAGTGTTTCCAGTGTTCTGGAATTTGGGTCCAGGTCTCAGAAACGCGCGCTGGTCCAACCCCAGACGCTGACAACAGGGCTGAGAGAGCCTCCCTTCCAGGGCACAGGTGTAACGGCTGTCACAGTGGGCCAATCGCCAGCACCTGCGGCCACAGGAGCTTCCTGGTGGCCTCCAGAGACTAATCCAGTAACAAGCCAGGTATCCCCAGGCCTTTTACACAAATAAAACATACGTATATTTCCAAAGACTACACACATGTCTGGGAGAGAACATGGTATCCACGTTCCATTGTCGCTTCTTAACGCATGTGGTTTTAGAAAGAGCCCCCTCCAGGAAACGTTTCCGTAAGATGAAGACGGAACTATCCCTCCTAAATCAACAGCCCTTCCTTAGAAATAGCCTTGTTCATTTGCTCTCCCATCGTCTCAGTAAGAAGCTGGAATCTGGGAGTGGGTTCCGCGTCGTGAGTCAGTCTGCGGTTGCCAGAAACATCGGGATGGGGTTGAATGATCATGAAATCGACCTTCAGTCTGGCAACGGATGACTGTTCGTGCAGGTAAGAAGGCGCACCTGTGACAACTTGCTCTGCCTATTCTCGGTTTAGAAAGGTGTGTGCTGAGCATGTGCACGTCTGTGCCATGTGTGTACATGTTTGTGCACGTGTGTGCATGTGCAGTGACGCCTGTGGCGTGAGTGGCTGTGTGTGCCACACGTGTGGGTGTGTGCCCGTGAGCCTGACCTACCCCACCACAAGACACCCCAGTCACTCTGCCGTCTCCAGAGCTTCTTCACGGGCTTTGCCAGCGTGTCCCTGCTCTACGTACCCTGAAGTGACTCTCTCGAACAGAGCCCTTGGCCACGTACATCCTGCTCTTCTCCGTTTTCAGCTGCTCGTAGAAGGGCTCGTCCAGAGTGAAGCTGTCGATCAGGTCGCAGCCCACGTACAAGCTGAAGGTCTCGCCTGTCACCTGCACAGTGACATTCTTCCACTGGGAGTCAGCCAGGCCCACGTCTTCTAAGGAGACGACGTGCTGGGCGCCGTCAATCCAGTAGGTGAGGTCCAGCGTGTCCGCTGGGCCGTTGGAGACGATCTCGAACTGCCTGTGGGCGGCGCCGGGGCCGTCCAGGGCCAGCAGTGTGCCCCGGGACTTGCGGTCCTGCTTGAGGCTGGCCGTCAGGAAGAAGCCGTCCTTCTCCCGCATGGTCCGAGCGATCCGGCCGAGGGCGTCTGCGCTTACCGGCGGGATGTAGTCAAACCGCAGGAACCGGTAAGCCGGCCCGCTGGGGTCGGGCCCCCGGAACTGCTTGGCCCCGATGGTCTTGCGGTTTATGTTGCTGATGCTGAAAAGGTCAAAGGCGGTGTCCTTGTCCTGGTCACCAGCTGCACAAGAGAGCAGAGCAGGGTGGTTACCAGCGGGCAGGGGAGCAGCCAGGAGAGGCCTCTTACGCTTCGCGCGAACGTGATTCCTGTGTTGGTGGATTAATGAGGCCGCCCAACAGCCCACTGTCCCCTCCCTTGCCGATGGCGTGGGACGCTGCGGTATTCTAAGTAAAGCCACCATCCTCTGTCCCCAGGCAGCAGCCCCAAGTGTTGCGAGCCTAAGCAACAATGTCATCAACCACGTCACCCAGCACTGGGTCAGGTCAGCTGACCCTTTCCACAGCAAGACTTCCAGGCAGGAAGCAGAGCCCTGAGTGACAACCGGCCACACGTCCCAGATCCAGTCCCCGAGCGGGACTCGAGCCTGTTCCTCCACCCCAAATCTGGGCTTTATGTGTGACCCTGTCTCCACCGTTCAATAGCCAGAAAAAAATCTCAGAAAGAAATGCATCTTAGCCTTGCTAGCCATGCGTTTTCAGAAAACCGCTGAATTACACGCTGCTTTCTTATTGAGATCATCTGTGATAAGCAAATCATGTCGGTAATTTTTACCACATTTCCCCATGTATAAGACGCACCCTTTTTCGAAAAATTTGGCATCTAAAAACTGGGTGCGTCTTACACAGTAGTTGTATAAGCACAAAAACAAGCACGAAGGGCCGGCCGAGTGGCTCAGTTGGTTAAGAGCTCGCTCAAGAGTTTGAGCTCTGAGCAACAGCGGTTCGAGTCCAGCCCGAGCTGAGCAGCCGCTGAGCTGCCAACAGGTAGCAGGATGGCTCAGCTAAAAAAAAAAAAAGGCGCAAAAAAAGCGGGAAATGCAAGTAAAAAAAAACCTACAACCACTGTATAAGACGCACCCAGTTTTTAGACCCCAAATTTTTCAAAATGGGGTGCGTCTTATACATGGGGAAATACAGTATTTTGTAGACACGCATTCTCCCACTTGTAAGGCACACACCACAGGAAGGGACCTGACACGGTGATGGGTCTTGAGCCTATAAATGAATGGCTTTAAGTCACCATCTAAACTGCTGGGGGAAAAAGTGATCAGACCTCACCAAAATTATAACAATTTCACTAACATAAGATAACTTTACTGAACAGAAAGTTATCCTTTATTTGCATCCAATATTTGGCAAAATAAAACATGATGACACATGGTGTTGCTGATGGAAGTGTGAATGTCGCCACCTTCGACAGCCATTTGGCAATAGATTCCAAATTCTTAAGATAATTAAAACCTTTGACTCAGCAATTTTACTTTTGGAATTTATCCTGAAGATGTCATCAGACACACTAGTGAAGATCTATTTACAGTCACATTCCTTGTGGCACCATTTACACTATGAAAAGAAAGTAATAACGTAAGTGGGAATTGGCTTAGAAAAGTAGAGTTTCTCTTCTGATGGAATATTGTATGGTTATGAAAAATCATGCTGTAAAAGAATAAGCACGTGGGAAAATACCGATGCTGTTTTTAAGTGGGTAAAAAGTGGAAAGAAACGAAGTTATAAAATACTAAATACTTCCAGTGTTGGAAATACAGCATGCAAAATGTGCCCGGAAAAATTCTACTTATCTCTAAGTAGAAAGGTGTTTTTCTCTAATACCTGGATTTTCTAAAAGAAATCATTTCCTGTTACGTAGGCTCAGATATAAACAAATATTTGTTGAAAACAAGTTAAGGGGACGCTCAAAGGTGAGACCCTCCAGCCACCAACACCATTTTGGCCCCTGATCCTTCAGGTGACCCACACCCCAAAGCCAGGTGGTCCTGCCCCACTCACCGTGAGCACCGCAGAAGGCCACCAGGGCCGGCAGGACCAGCCACCAGAGCATCCCGCCTCTCAGCCCCGAATCCCTGTGGACAAATTGGAGCCTGTTAGTCACGAGCACACACTGCAGCTCCGGTGGAGACTGGAACTTTTACTCATGTGAGCATTTGAAAGCATTTGCATATAAAGTTGTAACAGATGGATTTGTGGGAAGTAAAAGCTGTATAAGAGATGTGCTTTTCAAATGGGGTGCTTCTAACAATGGCTAATACTTTGAACTCGTATTTGTTGACAAGCTCTGTGCCGATCAAATGCTACATATTCCTATGATTGGATCTTATCACTTTGTGAGGGGTTTAAATGTCTAACATTGTTTTGTACACCTGAAACTAATAAAAAAAGAAAAAAGTATTTGGTAAATTGGAAAAGTCCCCTCCCGGGGGACAGACGCCCCCCAGAGGAAGAGGAGTGCACTGCAGGGCCTCGGCTTCCCTCTGGGGTCCAGGCGCCAGCTTTTCAGTCTGCCCCCAATAAATCCAGGCGCTTGGCTGTTTTCTGGGCAGCACGAAGAGCCCCAGGCCCGCGGGACTCGAGGCTGCCCTCTGTGGGCGGCCGCTGTGCAGCCGGGGGCACCCATCAGACCTCTCTGTGCCAGTCTCTTCATCGGCAGAATGGACAGTACTTGTTTAAATACCTCCCGCATAGGCAGTTATGAGGAATAACTCGAGCCAGTTAGTATGTTGGAGGACATATTAACACAGAGCGCGGGCTGCCCCTCTGGAATGCCATCCTCTGTGACTGCAGTGTCCTGGCAGTGACAGCAGTGTGGATGGTAACGGGGTCCTTCAGAGGATTAAGGTACGCAAGGGACACGTGTTAGGTACTCAGAGTAGCGCCTGGCACTCAGGGAGCAGTGGGCAAGCACCTCTGGTGCCTTTCCCCATGTCTGTCCCCTACAAGCAGGTGACAGCTGGCTCTGGCCAAGGCAGGCTCCGTCCAAACAACAGGTTTGAAATTTCTGGACACCCAGCTGCCTCCGTCTTGGCTTACGGAGTACACGAGCTGTTCTAGCCAGTCAGCCGTCCCGCTCTGCAAACGGGAGCGTCAGTGCCACTGGCCAAGCGAGCGTGAGGGGCCCATCGAGTCTCACGGGATGGTGACAACCAAAAAGCAACGCAGGATCAGGAGTCCCGGGCCGGTGGGGCGCAGCCTCGCCACACCCAGTCTGTCAGACTGCAGGGCTCCTCAGGTCGTGTCACATGGCGCGCTCCGGTCCCCTAGGCTACTGTCACTCAGTGGGAGCGGCGCTTATGGCTGTATTGTTCCCTCAAAGGAGATATTTCCAAAGACTTTGAGCCCCAGAATGTCATTAGAACGTCTAGCGGTCTTTTAACCTCTTTCCATACCGGCACTCACGGCAAAAACAACTCTCCCTCCATCAGGTGACATGGTTGCATGAAGGCTGTGTTGCTCCAACTGCCCCCGACCTGGGACCCCGACAAAGCAGCCCCTTAATAAACTGCCACGTGGGCTTCCGCAGGCAGTCACCCCGACCCGTAGGGGCACCCGGGCAGCCGAGGCTGTGCACAGACCTACGTACATCCATTGATCACGTTCAGAAGCGCAGCCCCAGCTCCGAGGACCGTTACCGAGGCGCCTCTGCAGCCCGGTCCGTTCACACCCTCAGGAGCGGCTGCTCTAACCCCTTCTCGTGGCCCCTCAATAACACGCTCCGCTGTGTGAACTGCTCATCCTGCCGCGGGCGCCGCCCGCTTGCCAGGCAGGTGCCTGGAGCCCACGGGGACCCTCAGCCGTGCAGGCGCCCGGGGCTCCCCGCACACAGCGGGTCTGCAGCCCGCACGTCCCCACCTGCAATGGTAACCTACACTCGCGTCTCTCCCCCTCCTGGAAATCAGATCGGCCTCTCCTAAGAAGTAAACTGCGGGGGGATTTGCAGTTCGTGAAGTCCTTACCGCGCGCGAGAAGCTCGGCGGGCGACCGCAGTGGGCAGGACGGTCTCGGGCTCGGGACCGCAGCGCGGCGGGAGCGGGCGCACTGGCCCGGCCGGCTTTATAGGCGCCGGCTGCCCGGGGCCCTTGGCCACGCCCCCGTCAGCGACCACGCCACGCCCTCGACCACGCCCCCGGGCCGGGCACGCCCCGCCCGCGGCCACGCCCCTCGGGCCGCGGCCCCGCCCAGCGCGCCCCTCCGCGGAGTGACGTAGCGCCCGGTCCCGCGCTCGCCGCGCACCTGGCACCGGGGGCCCGTCCGTCCCTCGTGCCGCCGCCGCTGGCTGGGCGCGGAGAGGAGCGCGCGCTCTTCCCGTCTGTGAGGAAATGAAACGCTGATGCTATAAATAAACCGGCGCGCCGGCTGCAGCCCCCGCTTTGGCTCGAGACAGGATGCGAGTCCTGCGCTTTAAATCCGCCTCGCGCGCCGGAGGCCGGGCCGCGCGGAACGGGGGGCGCCCGGGGGCCCGGGGCGCAGGCAGCCAACCAGGCGGGGGCCGATGCGTCCTGTGCGTGGGGATTAATGTGTCGCGAGCAAAACAGTGCTACTCCCGCGGGAAGCTGGCACACTGGTGCACGCGGCCGGAGAGCCGGGAGCAGGCCTGGGAGGATGCACCCGCCTCCAAACCGGGCCTGTGTTCCTCGGTCTCGGGTGGGCACCCAGACCCGGGCGAGCCCACGCAGCACCCACCTTCCAGGTGGAACCAACCATCTTGAAAACTCCCAGGGGCGCAGCCAGGGCTCTGTGCAGAACAAAGTCCCCAGAAGTAAAACTAGTAACAGCAGGCAGAGGTCAGAGGCCACCAAGGCCAGGGGGGGAGGGGGGGACCACAGGGAGGACGCGGGCAAAGGGGGGGGACACAGGGAGGGGGGGACAGCGTGTGCCAAGTCGACGTGTCGGGTCTGTCCTCCCCTCCCTCTGCCTGAGGTCCCTGTCTCCCCAATATTGGTTCCTGTCAAATTGCTGCTGACCAGCTCTGGGTTCCGCGTGGGAGTGCGAGGACAGGCTGGGAGGGGTCCTGAGTGGATGGCAGTCTCGCTCCCTGTTCACATTTTGGACGTCACTTCCTGATGTACAGAGAGAAAAGAAACTTAACTCAAAGAATGCCTACCTTGTTTAGGGTCAGACAGCTTCCTTTTGATCAGCTAGTTAGTTGGTGATAAAGTCATCATTTGAAAAATAAAAACCTGGACTCTATGTAACTAAGTTGATATTATCTCAAATTCCAAAGAAAATTATATTACAGTCTAACTGCTATGCTGTACACCTGAAACTAATATAAAATAATACTGAATGTCAACTGTAACTGAAAAAACTTTTTTAAATAAGTAAATAAAATGTTCTTCCAGAACATTAAAAAAACAAAACGCATAACCCAGTCTCCCCGAATGACTCTCCAGTGGCTGTGAGTTTGCCCGTTTTACCTTCTTCGATTGTTGCAGGCGGGCGTTCCCTGTGCCCCACGCTGGGGCTCTGAATGCATCTCCCATGTCCTCCATGTCAGTGCATTTCCTGGACAAAGCTGTGCGACACTGTCCTGCCTGCCTGGCATTGCAGGGGTGTCCAGGACGGGGACTGTGGCTCCAGACGGTGGCAGTGAAGCCGCCTGCACGTCCACTGGGGGAGATAAACCCTGAGGAATGACGCTGGCCGTCAGAGGAGCCCAGCCACGAGGGGCAGCTATGTTGGGGTTCACAGGTGGGATTTCTTCCCAGATCTCCAAAGGGCAGTGTTAGAGAGGGCCCCTGGAGAGACAGGATGTGAGCCAGGGGAGAGCATCCCAGGTGGGCTTCTCAGGAAAGACGTGAAGCGGAAACTGCTGGTGTGCGACAGACAGGCAAGGGCACACATCCAGCAGGGACCCCCACTCACGGGGGCAGGAGCTGGAATGGGGTCCACAGGCGATGGAAGCAGAGATGCCCAGGCCGGGATGAGGCCGGTCTCCATTCCAACAGCATAAAACGGAAAGTCTCCAGTGGGGCTCACACTCAATTCAGCAGGGCGTCCTATGCAGGGTGGGGGGGCCGCCCCGGGACGTGGGTGTGGCTGTCCTCCCACAGAAGTTCTCCCAGCAGTGACAGCACAGCCCCCCGATGTCCAGGCCTCCGGGTGCAGGAGGAAGGGGGGGAGGGGGGAGTGCGCCTCGCCAAGGTCAAGGCCGCTGGCCTCCAACGCCCCAGCAGTGTGGGGAGAAGCTCCTGTGGCTCCTGGGGCTCATTCGGAGCTCCTGTGGGAGGGAGATGGGGGGAGAGCCCTGCCTGCTCCAGGGAGCGGCCTGTGGGGCAGTGGCTTCCAGTCAAGAGAGACACATGAGCATTCACCAGCGACAGACCACGGGCCAGTCAGGGGCTCCGGCAGCTGGCGGGCGGGACTAAACGTGACACCAAAAAGGCAGAGGCTGCTCATGGCCGCTCATGCTGCCGACTTAGGACAGGGTCTGGCGTGTATTAGCTGCATAGAAGCTCCACACATATCTTTTGAGTTAAAGAATGAACAAGTTGATTCATAAATGAACCAAACGACGACCCCTCTGCCCTTCCCAGCAAAAGCTCTGAGTGGGCCAGGCTTGGATGGAAGCCAAGTGATGGGCAGCCCAGCGCTCGCCAGCTGGGGAGGTCCAGGCCACCCCCGGGAAGGGTCCCGGGTCCCTGTGGAAGAGGCAGGGTCTGGAGGTGAGAGCTGGAGCCTTCACTCTGCTGTGCTGGGGCCCGGTGGGGAGCCACAGAGGGCCCAGGACGGCTGCGGCTCTGTGGCACCCCGGCCTGGTGCCTGTGACACGGAGGGCCAGGAGCAGCGAGCCGGGAGCTGCTGGGATGCGAGGTGTCACGGCTGCGGTGGCATCTGTTTCCTCTTAGTCTCCTCGGGCCATGAATAAGCAAAGGGTTTTCTCACCCCTCCTCTGGGCGGGGGTTTCGGGAACTGGGCTGTGGTAACCAACAACAGAGGGAGACAGCAGTGTCAGTCCTTGTGAGCGTGCCCCGAGCCCGTAGCAGAAGGAGAGAGTTCCCAAAGAGGAGCTCATGAGGACGGAGGCCAGGCGGATGAGGTCCTGGGTTTCTCCATCCTTGGTGTGAACTGGGCACTCGCACACAAAGGCTGGAGCTGGGGCTGGGGAGGGCGGATGGAGCAGCCGTCGGGCACGCGGGAGGCAGGCGGGTGTGGGGACACCCCTGCAGGAGAGGCGTTACAGCATGGGGGGAGGGGGCGGAAGCCCAGGTCCCAGCCCTGGGCCAGCTGTGCGGTGCTGTCCATCCCCCTCCCTGGGCCTCAGCCCGCTCTCCTGTGACATGGGCATGGGCCCCCGCTCCTCTGAGAACTCAGCAAGCTCAGGAAGGGCCGAGCTCTCAACGGTGCCCCGGGATTTCTCTCCCTGGAGTCCTGGCCCAACCACCGGCCATGAGGCAGCTTCGCACCCAGGCCGTCGCGCAGCTGCCCGCGAGTCTACAGCCATGGCCACCGACCTCCCCTCTGCTGGCGCCCTGGGACAGTCACGGGACAGCAGGCTTCTGTCCCCCGTCAGCACCCAGGGACTGACCTGACCACAGCAGGACAGGACGTGCCAGTGCTGCCTCCTAGGGACCTGTGAGGCCCCCACGCTGAGCACTGGGAAGGCCTGTGCCGGCAGACACTAACCCAGGAGCTCACTGCTGCACGGCTCACCCGCAGCCTGTCCCCCAGGGACACAGTGGGAGTGCCCTGCTGGCAGCCTCCAGGGACCTGCCATGGTCCTGAGAATATGCCCACTCCCGGCGTCACTGCAGGTTGGCCCTTGCCCGCCTGCCCGCCTCCTGCCAACGGCGTGCCCCCGACGCTGCTCTTAGGGGCGTGGAGCCTGCTGTTCCTGCCTGAAGCCCTTTCCCGTCGGCCGCTCAGGCAGCCGCTGCTTTGCACTAATAGTTATTCAGGCCTCAGCTGCAAAGTCCCCTCCAGGCTGAGCCGACCCAAGACCCCTGACCACCCATCTGTCACTCCCACTGTCACCTCGTCCTCCAGCATCTCATTCACCCCCTGCATCACCTGGCTTGTGTGTGTACTGCCTCGTCATGTCCCAGTGTCCTCTCGCTGGGCTGCCGGGAGAACAAAGACGCAGCCACCTCACCCGCTGCGGCCGGAGCCAGTAACGTGCTCCCGGAACCAGCTGAGTTGACGGATGAACAGGCCATCTGTGCAGATGGCTCTTCTCGGCCGCAAGCATGGGACAGTTCCCTGGGAGTCATGGAAGGCCACCTCCCTGCTCCATCCGGACTGTCCTCAGAGAACTTTCTCTAACAGATGCCCCTGTCCACTTGCTGCACCAGTCAGCGCGCACCTGGGGCCATGCTGGTCCCTGAGCACACTCACTGCAGTCGTGAGGCTGGCCATCCAGAGGGGCACCACATGGGGTGGTGGGGGCGGGTCACCCTAGGCCAGCCACAGGCATAGGAGCAGTGGGACAGAGGCAGTGGGGACCACGGTGTGCTTTCCGTCCTGTCCACCTCCTGGAAGGAAATCTTTAGGTGGCGCCCTTCATGAGGCCCGAGTTCCTGTCAGGTGTAGGACTATGGGTGTCCGTCACCCTGGGGAGAGGGAGACGCTGGAGCTAATAACCTGACGTGCAGACAGCAGCGGGGAAGGCTGGCCCCGCACAGCAGGGGCAGGCACCACGGCCCGCCCCACAGTCACAATGGACGCAGCCTCCTGCAAGCTGCTGCTGGCGTGGGGCTGTAACTCAGCGCGCGGGACACACAGTGAGGAAGTTAGGGCAGCACACGGGAATGGGCTACGGACAGCCAGCAGGGCGCAAGGGCCCGTGAAGACAGTGGGTTCAAAGAAGGGCCTTGGGTTTAGCTTAACCAGGGAGCGAAGTTCAAGAGAATAGCAGGCGGGCTTATAAGTGGGGTGCTGAGTGCACAGCTGGTGGGTCCCCAGACCCCACACGGTGGGGCTGAGGCCGGATGTCTATGTCTTACCAGCCAATGGCGGTGGCGGGCACTGGGCTTTGGGCAGCCCCTACCCCTAGAAGGCTTTGGAGCTGGGATGAAACATTTATGGGC